ACTTAACTTCATGGGAAGGTTCTTCACATGGTATAAATGGTGAAATCTACCAAACTGGGATAAAGCACCAGCAGCGCTGTTCCATGCATTCTAAGGGCTACACTGAAATCAATAGCCCCTGTGCCTCTGCCATATCAGGGAGGTTGGCCAGGAATCCTGTGGAATCAATGGCTAGATTGGCTGCCATTCTGACTCATAGAATCATAGAATCATAGAATAATAGGACTGGAAGGGACCTCGAGAGGTCATCGAGTCCAGCCCCCCGCCCTCAAGGCAGGATCAAGCTCCGTCTACACCATCCCTGACAGATGTCTATCTAACCTGTTCTTAAATATCTCCAGAGAGGGAGATTCCACCACCTCCCTTGGCAATTTATTCCAATATTTGACCACCCTGACAGTTAGGAATGTTTTCCTAATGTCCAATCTAAACCTCCCCTGCTGCACTTTAAGCCCATTACTCCATGTCCTGTCCTCAGAAACCAAGAGGAACAAATTTTCTCCTTCCTCCTTGTGACACCCTTTTAGATATTTGAAAACCACTATCATGTCCCCCCTTAATCTTCTTTTTTCCAAACTAAACAAGCCCAGTTCATGAAGCCTGGCTTCATAGGCTTCTCTAGACCTTTAATCATTCTTGTCGCTCTTCTCTGTACCCTTTCCAATTTCTCCACATCTTTCTTGAAATGTGGCGCCCAGAACTGGACACAGTACTCCAGCTGAGGCCTAACTAGCGCAGAGTAGAGCGGCAGAATGACTTCACGAGTTTTGCTTACAACACACCTGTTAATACAACCTAGAATCATATTTGCTTTTTTTGCAACTAGCATTTCTCATAGCATTTCTCCTACACTTTGACATAGGCAGCTCTTCCTACAGCTTTGCTTAACATAAAATTGGAGGAATAGAGTCTCTTTGTGGCTAGGAGTCCCCCAGTGCAGAAGAACACTAGTTATTCCTCCAACTTTTAAAGCTTTCCACATGCCATGGGATTTCACTTTTGAAATGGTCAAGGCAGGGATATCCCTGTACAATTCATGAAGTAGCAAAGACAACCTTGGCAAATGAAGTGCCACTTCACATCAGCTGAGGATCTAGCCTCTTAAGTTTTTCTGTCCCTTACAAGACTAATGAGACAGTGTCTAGTTTGTAGTATATAAATGACATTACTAGTAATTGCTCCATTGTAAAACTACAGCTACTTTTGCTGGCATATCCCAATAACTGTAATTATGACTAAAACTCTGATATCATGTAGGTGCTTCATCCTTGAACAGGATCCTATTCTTTTGCATTTGTTAATGTAATTCTGGGTTTCCAATAATTGGTGATCACCACGAATGACACAGAAACATCCCCTTAATTGGACAAACAGCAAGTTGGAAAGGTTATGCTCGGACGAGGCTTAACTTACAATTAAAAACATCATTTGCTCAAATGTTTCACTTAAAAACCACGGGCTAACTCCTGAGCTGATATAAACTGGTGCAAAGTAGCTGATATAAACTGGTGTAAAGTAAAGTAAAGGTCTTCAAAGGAACTATGCCACATTTACTCCCACTGGAGTAATTGTATTGCTCCCACACTTTGTATTATATGGTGAAACATCATGTTTGCTTTTCAACCAATACTAACTCACATTCTTCAATCAATGAATGCCCCTTGGGTTATGTCTACACAGAGACTTGACTGCAGCATGTGTTGGCATTTCTGAACTAGCTTTGATCAGTTGCTAAAACTAGCAGGGAAGCTAAAACAACACCATGGGACCCATGGACTTGGTGTCTGGAACCCTGGGTGCACGTTTGGATGGTGAACCTATGTTGTTGTGGGTTCACTGTGATTATCAAATGAGTTAGCTTGATCCAAAGTAGCTTGGGTCTACCTACACATGCTGCAATTACTTCTGCCAATACCCTTGCACATACTCTGTAGGGGAGGATGGTCCTCCAACGCTGTGAAAAAAAATGATTTAACTGTATCCTTACAGGTTGCCTATTACTTGGAAAAGTGTACTCTGGACTTTTTCTAATGTGATGTATCGGGGTTGAGGGAAACATAAGGGAAGGTATAATTTAACAAAATTTTATGAGTTGTACCAAAGGTTTGTTAAATGTGCAGAAACCGGAAAAAGCAAATATGTTACAGGTGGTAGCATTATAGAACTTCAGATGTAATAACTTGAAGTTTTATGTACTTCATAAATCTAAGTTAAATTTAGAACTCCTTTATCAAGTGAGGAGGAGAAATGAACTGCAAAACAAAGTGGTCCCAGACCTTTTAGGTTCATACAGGTAACGATTATTTTTAATCGGAAGAACAATCACAAGAGACTTGGGAGGAAATACAGAGGTTGAGCATAGCTGGTGTAAATCACATATGCTCTGCTGAAGTCGATAAAGCTTCACCGATTTACACCCATTGCGGGTCTGGTTCTCTCTTTTGTACGTGCTTGACTGAGTATGCAAGAGCTGGGAGAGAGTACAGGGAGACATCTCCCACCATCCACTGCTAATACAAGAACCAGGAGGAATTGCTATTCCTGCTCTGAGCACATGTACTGTTGCCTGCCAGCTACCCCAAAGGCCAAGTCTTGCTCTTTCCCCCATCACTGCTGGCTTGATATGCAGTCAAACATATGCTGTATCTTGACTTAGTGCTGCTCTGTGTTTCTCTATACTTATGGTTGTTCCTTCACAGCACCATCTGACTCACAGTGATTTATAATAATAAGGGTAATACTACTTAGGGGCTGATCCTAAGGAGTCAATGGGAAATTTGCCATTGGTTAAATGGGAGCAGGACAGAGGCTTACATTTCTCTCTAAAAACCTTTATAAAAAAGTTGTGGGGAGAGTGCTGCCTCTTTGGGGCTCTCTTTTTATTGTCTCTGGCTCTTGTCTTTGCATTTTTAAGGGAGATCTTTTGGAAAACAGTGCTATTTTTTTCTCTCTAAGTGCTTCAGCTCTTCATTTCCAAATCTGGAACAGGTTTAAACAAGATCCTGCCTTTCCCTTTCCCAGGAAACTGGTGTAATTCACAATGTATTTATTGGACTATGTATGTTTGCAGGGAGCATGTACACTCTGATGAATCAAACTGTGAGCGTCAACTTCTTGCTTCTGAGGCAGCACAGTGATACACCCGGGGTTCTGGAAGGATTTGTATAGTAAGGGGCACTGAGAGACATTCAGCCAAACTGTAGACCATGTATATGATGGAAACCACTTCAAAACAGGGGATGCAGTAGCACCCCTAGTAACCATAGTTTCAGCGCCTATGCCCCTTACTCTTATAGGATGGTAAGATTACAGCTCAAAGGTGGTGTTCAGGCTCATCAAGACCAAATGACAGTAAATTCAATGATTTTAAATGTCTGGATAATTATAGTTAATCAAAAAGAAGCAAATGCAAATAATTGGCTAGCGCTCTAGGGACAAATTCATCCCAATGTCAAAGTCAGTGATGTTGCACCAAGTTTGGATCTAGCCTCTGATCATCTCATCCATAAATCCTTGATAAAGTGTGTGAATTTTACTGTTTGCTCGTAAAACAGCCAAATGTAAAAGTAAATGACCTCATACATGCTATCTCTCTGCAGATAGCTACAGTTGGCAGATAGCCAGGAATTGATTGACACACATCTTACGGAACTAGACTTAATTAATATGTCTACCAATTCCCAAATGGATCTCAGGAAGCAGAGAATCTGCTTAACGCAGTAAGCAATGGCATACTGTGTGTGGTCAAGAGACAATCACTAATTGCCAAGACTACAAGGCTTAAAGAGGCCAAAAGCACTCCACTCATTTCCCCCAAAACCTTATGCCTAGGACATTAAGAAGGATGCATGTTTTGAATGTTAAAAGATATTTGTGTAGGAAAAAAATCACTCCCAGACTGTTAAGCCATCACTCAAATGATCTGATATTTTTAAAATACAAAGCAGAATCCAATTTTTAAGTGATAGAGGGTGTCCTCATTCATTTAAACAAAGATGTCTTTATTTTCCTGGCAATCTGCAATCCTGAATGTCAACTCCATGAGGTGACTGTAATGATTATGCTTCAGTGATCAGAGCAAGTCAACATAACACAATTGTGGATTCTCCCTCACTCCCAAAACACAACAATACCCCCCAGCTTTATAAATTAAGCAAGTGATGGCTGGGAACACATCAAGAGAACTCGTTCTATGAATTGAAAGGATCCAGAGAGCAGTCGCCACATAAGCCATATAGAGAACAAAGGCAAAGTGGCTTCACTTATATTATAGACTTATGCTAATATTACAATAAACATTTAACCTTTTAAGACAGAACAAAGCAGAAAATCGATCAAACTAAAGACAACAACCCCTCCCCAAATCCTGGCTAGGTAAAACAGCACAGCTCTACTGATTTTAGTGGGGCAACTCCAATTTACCTCAGAGAGGATCTGGCCTACCCATTTTATATTTAGTTAAAAAAAGAAGAATGAGCTCATCTAAGTCTATTCCATGCTTCCTGCAGCATAGAGCACAAAATTGGCATTCAACAAGTAAATAACAACAGGAAGGGGAGGGAAAGCAGGGACAAGGGTAAGAAATAAAAAAACAGGCTTGATTTGAGCCAGCAAAACTGTGTGTGTGTCAGGACAAATTGTAGAGCTGAGAAATATGCTTGAGTGGCATTGTGTCTTTATTCCCCGATGGGAGAAAGCTGTTTTGGTGTCAGACTCTGCTGACCAGGAAGAGGCCTAGAGGATAAAGCTGGCAGCAGAACAAAGGTGTCGATAATATTGTGTCTTCAGATAGCTGATATCTGCCATGAACAAAAAAGGAAGTACATCTGATTTTATATAACAGACAAAGCGGGTGTATTTTTAATTTTGTTTGTAATGGTTTAATGATGTTTCAATGCAAAATTAGTAATGATTCATTTTGGCAGGAGAGGTCATGGCTAAAGTTGATAAAGTTTTCCTCCTCCCCCAAGGAAAAGTAGTATAAAAAATTCTGTGTTTACCTCAGGATGCCGTCCAATTTCAATATACGTGCAAACTGGATGAAAAGCCCCAGTTCCGCAGGCGTACAAGTGTGTCTGGTTGTAAGCTTTAAGCACCTTGATAAAATTGGCGCATTCTTTCTGTGAAGGAAAGAAACACATACACAAAGTGAATTCTAGCAGGGAGCATGAATAACAGACACTCCTATGCATTAGGCATCATTAGCAGAATGAACAGATAGTATATTTATGGTCCTTTCATGATTTTTGTAAGGCTTGTTTATTATTGGCATTTCATTGCTATTTTGAGTTAGGGCCTACCCATCATAGCTAAAACAAGAATACATAGTGACAATTTCCCCTTTTTTTGATTGAGGTAGTCTCTGCTTTTGGATGTAAGTTATTTCTTCATTTGCAAAACAAATCTCATGGGGTATGTCTACACTAGCACCCTAGTTCGAACTAGGGTGGTTAATGTAGGCAACTGAAGTTGCAAATGAAGCCCGGGATTTGAATTTCCGGGGTACGAGGTGTACCGGTAGTTCGGAATAGGAAGCCTAATCCGAACTACCTAGTCCGTGCCGCGTGTAGCCGCGGGCACGGAGTCCGAACTAGCGGACATTTAAAAATGGCGGTGCCCGGCAATATGCAACTGAAGCCCGGGAAATTCAAATCCCGGGCTTCATTTGCAACTTCAGTTGCCTACATTAACCACCCTAGTTCGAACTAGGGTGCTAGTGTAGACATACCCATGTATGGAAACATGGTTGCCCAGAATAAAACAATTATGAGAAATGTCTTCCAGGACTTTAACAGGATTCCAAAAAGAGCTAGAAAAAATCATGGCTATTAGCCATGATGGGTAGGAATGGTGTCCCTAGCCTCTGTTTGCCAGAAGCTGGGAATGGGTGACGGGTGGATCACATGATGATTATCTGTTCTGTTCCTTCCCTCTGGGGCACTTGGCATTGACCACTGGTGGAAGACGGGATATTGGGCTAGATGGACTTGCGGTCTGACCCAGTATGGCCGTTCTTATGTTCCTGTATTTCATTAATTAATCATTTGAAAAAAGATGGCCCAGATGGGATGAACTGATATAAAATAAACCATTGATATAATATTTAAAACAATAACACACATACTATAGGATGAACTACTCTAGGCTATGTCTACACTACCACCCTAGTTTGAACTAGGGTGGTAATGTAGGCAACCGGAGTTGCAAAGGAAGCCCGGGATTTGAATTTCCCAGGCTTCATTTGCATAAAGCTGGGCGCTGCCATTTTTAAATGTCTGCTAGTGCAGACTCCGTGCCGCGCGGCTACACACGGCATGGACTAGGTAGTTCGGACTAGGCTTCCTAGTTCTAACTACCGTTACTCCTCGTGAAACGGTAGGAGTAATGGTAGTTCGGACTAGGAAACCCGGGCTTCCTTTGCAACTCTGGTTTCCTACATTACCACCCTAGTTCAAACTAGGGTGGTAGTGTAGACATACGCCTAGTCCCTCACTCTCTGGTCTGGCAACATCCGTGGTCCGGCATGATATTAGTCATCCAGATGTCCATTTATCATGGGTGTGGCCAAGTTTCCTGCAGTCCCATAAACTTTGTTTATCGCCCCCAGTCCAGGCTCTCAGTTCTGTGCTGTTACTTAGCTCAAATTTACTTAGCTCTAAGAACCCAATAATCAGTGAAAGTGTTGGTAATGCTCCTGGACAATATTGACCTCCTGTGGTTCAGCAAATTGTCTGATTTAGCACTCGTAAGGTCCCGACGGTGCTGGACTTGAGAGGTTCAATAGCATTTCATAGCCTCTGCTACCTCAGTTCTACAATAGTTACTTAGGCCTCTATCCTGCAATGATTATGCACATGTTTAACTTACTCACTGAAAAGCCACTTGGACTACTCACAATACATAAAGTTAAACATGTTCCCAAGTCTTTGCAAGACCCAGGTCTTAAATTTTATACTTGCTTTAAGGAAATAGTCACAACTCGTATTTACCTTTAATAAAAACATACAATTCTTTATCTGTCTAGCTAATGAAAACTTATACCATTACAAAGGAAAGACACTTTAAAAATTAATTTGCTCATCGTCATGTATTTGGTATCCATTTATTTACTATTTTGCATTTTCTTCAGTTTGAAACATGAAGATGAATGTCAGTGTCACTTTGTGATATTTCATGCTCTGACATATGCTGTAAAGCAGCGGTCTCCAGCCTTTTAAAGGATGAGATCACTTTTTGAATTTAAGTACAATCCAGGATTTACCTCAAACTCAAATACGTTTGCCCCACCTCCTTCATGCCCCTTCTGCAAGGCCCTGCCCCTGCTCCCTTCATTCTCCCTCCCTCCCCCATTCTCTCTCCCTTTCATCAGGCAGGGGCAGAGGATTGGGGTGCAGGTTTTGGTCTTGGGCTAAGGGATTTGGAGTGTGAGAAGTGTTCTGAGCTCAGCCTGGGGCACAGGTTGGGTTCAGGAGGGGATACATGACCATGACAGGGATTCAGGATACAGGCTCCAGCTAGACACTGCTTACCATAGGTAGCTTCTGTGTGGTAGTGCAGTGGTGCTAAAGGCAGGCTCACCCCTGCCCTGGCCCTGCACCACTCACATAAGCAGCCAGCAAACTCTCTCCATCCCAAAACCTGTTGCATCTCTCATTCCCCCCCACCTCCTACTTTCTGTGGAAGCAGAATACGGGGTGGGAAAGGGAAATAGCTCCACAGCAAAGGGAGATGCGCAGCAGTGGGGTGAGGGGCAGCTGAAGTGCTGCACTTGACAGTCTCTTGGCCAAACCAGTCAAGATCACCTATCAGAGGCTCCAAGATCTACCAGTAGATCCCTATCTACTGGTTGGTGACCACTGCTGTAAACCATGGATTGCAAACACCGCAGAGAAACATTTAAATCCAAACAAAACAAAAGCTGTTTTCACTGAAAGATAATTGTTAACAAAATTGATGGAAATATTGTGTTACTATTTGGCTGTGTTCAACTTTATAAAAAGATCTAGAATTTTTGACCCAATTTAACAGTTTTTTTCCTACTAAATACTGTTCTTAAAATTTAATTTACCTTTATTTGTGAAGGAAAAATTGAAGTCAACAGCAAACAATACCAAGTCAGAGAGGGAACTAATGAGAAACATTGAACTTCTATTGCCCCACCACTGGGAACAAGCAGAGATTATGGTCTTAGTCCTGAATATTGATTCATGAGATATTGCTGTGTGGAGACCCATTAACTTCAACGGGGCTCCATGCAGGTGCAGTCTCCACTCATGCGGAAAGCTTGAAGGTTCAGGGAATAGTGGCCCAATGCTTAAATCCCTACCTACATAGAACCTCCATTGACTTCACTGGATTGTGACATCAGACCCTGTGGCTTGCTTGTGAAGAGCGAATGAAAGACAGACTCTAAAACACAAACCATGGCTCTGCCAGAGCAGGTGAAATTACAACCCTTAAGACTCCTGTAGGCTACCACTAGGCAAGCTATAAACAATTCAGTACAGACAATGCCACCCTAATGTATTGTAAGATACACAGGACATTGTTCTTCAGATTTGTTTTGCTTATGAGCATTTGCATAAAATGTACTGACATTGTATTAAAAAGAACACCCCCAGAGACACACACACAGTCTTACAACATGGTTGGCTCCAGGGCTGACCAGACAAGTACACAGGTTATCCATCCAACTGAGATAGAAGAGAAAACACAGAGGTAGTAAAGAGAATCCAGCAGGAAATTGAAAGCTGGAGATGTATGTTTTGCAAATGTTCTCTCTCTATTTTTTCCAGTTTGATCTCTCTTAATAAGAATAGAAAGACATTATATACCGACAGACACACAAACCTATACAGACATTTATTGTTTTATATAGACACGTGGGCTACCATTCAGTGCTACAGTGATAGGGGTTAAATGGTTAAATAGAATAAATGATTGTAGTTTCATTTAGAGTTAGTATATTATTCTTCAATTCTCTCATTTTTTGTGTGTACAGTTGCGTAAATGAAAGAAGGAAAAAATCTCTTGAAAGTATTTGACACAAGCAATACTAGAGATGAGCAACAGCTGAAACTATCTGCTCAAACTCTTTCATAATGGGGTTTCATGAAATGGGCCAGTATATGAATTACCCTTGAGTTGGCTGTATAAAATTGGTAACTGGCTGATGAGATTTGCAAAAGGATGCTGATTTTGCTCACATCATGGGCCAAATTCACTTCCACTGTAACATCACTTAGCATTGCACAGGCCTTGGCGTGTAATTATTTAAAACAAATCTTCATTTAAAAAAAATCAGCTGAACAAAATACATTGCAAAGTCAGGGGGAACAAACACATACCATGGACCATATGGACTGATCCCTAATTAGTGCAAATCGATTCAGCTATATTGAAATCAATGTAATTACATTGATTTACACCCGCTGAGTATCTGGCCTGCATGTACTCACATGCTAAACAAAAACAAGCAAATACTGCTTATCTCCAGTGCTGAGTGAGAAGGTATGAAATTACTACATGCAGTAAGGGCTAGATCGAAAGCTCATTAAGTCTGAGGCCAGATTCTGCTCTTATTTCCAGGAGTGTAAATCAGAAATAATTCCACTGGCTTCGGTGCAGCTACAACAAATTAAACTGGTTCTGATGAGAGAAGAAGTGAACACCTTCCATGTCCTTCTATGTGCCACAGTAAGCCCTCACTTGCTTTAGATTTACAGCACTGTAACTCCATTAATGTCAATAGAGGTACTCCAGAATTACACCACTATAACTGAATGGAGAATTTAGTTTGCTCTCTCTGACTTTTAATTCCTCCTTGATCTCCAGTGCAACAGATTTTAACCATAGATGTCTGAGAAACAGAAGAACTAATTAAACACTAGGGCTGTGTCTACATTGGCCCCTATTCCGTAATAGGGATGCAAATGAAGCACTTTGGAATAGTCAAATCCACGGGGGATTTAAATATCCCCCGTGGCATTTGCATTAACATGGTTGCTGCTTTTTTCCGGCTTGTAGATAAGCCGGAGAAAAGCTCCAGTCTGGACGCGATCCTCCGGAAAATAAGCTCTTTTCCGGAGGATCTCTTATTCCTACTTGAAAGTAGGAATAA